AGAAACCAAGTTGAATTTCTCCGACGGGCATTTTTGGGTGGACCTGATGACCTCAAAAGAAAAAAAGAAACTACGATCGTTTGTAAGTTTTGTGGTGTCTGCATTGCGAGCACGATCCGCCCTTAAATGAAAGACTGAATCTGCATATCTATTTTTATTTACATTATTTTGTCTTGCTCTTTATATGCTACTAATGTATTTTAATTTGCCTTTTATTTTCTACGGCTACGTATAAGGATCTCTATTGTATGAATTCTATGAATTTGAAACAATAAATTGCATTATATATATATATATATATATATATATATATATATATATATATATATATATATATATATATATATTCTCGTTAACGACCTTCGTGAAATAGGAATTCCATATACAACTCTATCAAATGTAAAAATATTTTTTTCAAAATAAATGGTGAAATAATTGGTCCAAGAATCAGCACTGCTGGTCTCCCACAAGGTTCAATTCTCAACCCGATCAATTCTGCAATTTACACCCGTAAACTACACAGACTGATTCCTCGCGACTGTAAAATCCATGAGTTCGCAAACGACATTTCTGTCACGTTCCGATCTCCTAACTTAAATCAAATAATTAACTCCCTCCAAAACTCTCTTAACGTTCTCTCTCTGTACTTGTCTGAAAGAGGCCTGGAAGTCTGTCCATCCAAAACGAAATTTGTCATTTATAGCAATAAAAAATACAATCCAGATGATCCAGCTCTTTCTGTATCTTCCTATGGTACCATTATCCCTCCGTCGCCCTCAGCAACATACCTTGGTGTTCAATTTCACTAATCTGGTTCCTCCGATTCTCATTTTAATTATCTTTGTGAAAAAAAATAATAAAATATTAAATATTTTTAAAGTCCTTCGAGGTACTTCTTGGGGGCAGATCCTCAATTACTTTTACAAATTTATAATTCCATGTTTAAAAGCCGAGTTGATTATGGTTCACAGGCCTATAATTTTAAATCCCACAAAAACTTTTCACGCGATTATAAAAAATTCGTAATCGAGCTTTAAGACTAATTGCAGGTTATAGAGGGAGTACCCCTATAAACGTTATGCTGGCGGAAGGTTGTGATCCACCTTTCAGGTCAGAATTTAACTATCTTGCAAAAAAATACTTATATAAAACCTTCTCAATCTCTACTCACCCTTTACACGACACACTTTTAGATCTTTCTTACCTCACTCGTAATAGTAACGTAAGATTTAATCTTCCTCTTTAAATGGCTTTCGAGAAGACGAAAGATTACGGCGAACTAATAAGAAGTAGAGACCTTGATCCCTATTTCGAATTCCTTTTTGAGGATCATTTATCCACTCCCCAGATCTTTTTTGATTTGGGTAAAACACTACAATCCTCATCTAATCCCTCACTTTTATTTAAAGATCATACGTCTTGCAAATTCCCTAACCACACATTTTTCTTTACAGACGGTTCTAAGTCGAATGAGGATAATCTGGCTGGTTGCGCGTTTGTTTGCCCCTCCTTAAATATATCGTCTAAATTCAAAATTTCCAATTTTGCATCTATCTTTTCACTCGAAGATTTTGCTATTTTGTTTACTTTATATTATATTATTAACAACAATATCAGTGATACAGTAATATTTTCAGATTCTCTTAGCGTTCTCAAACATTTAGCATCCAAAAATATTTATAAAATTAAGTCTTATATAATTTTTACCATAAGAAACCGCTTGAGAGTTCTTTCAGGTATGAACCGTCCAACAAAACTAGTCTGGATTCCTGGTCATTCAGGAATTGAAGGCAATGAAACAGCTGATAAAGCTGCCAAAGATGCATCCTTTAACCCTGAACAAATAAGCATTCAACTCCCACCCTCGGATTTCTTCAGTCTAGCCCGTAAGGAATCAGTCAATAGTTGTTACTCTTTCTTTTTAGAAATTAGTAAAAACAAAGGTGCTCAATACACTAAATTCTTTTATAAATTCAAGAAAAAACCCTGGTTCCATAACTTTATATCTCGTAGAAATTGGATTGTCTCTATTTGCCGTTTAAGATCTAATCATTATAATTTAAACGCTAGTCTTTTTCGAAAAAAATATATTTATTCTGGAAGCTGTCCCCCATTGTCCCGGTATCGAAGAGGACATTGATCACATTCTTTGGTCTTGTCCCAGATCTGAAGCTTTTCATCCTAACCTATTAAAGGCCCTTTCAAGAGCTCTAAAATGCCCTTCTCCTTTTAGCAGTGTTCAATTTCTCACCAACCCTTCCGCTAGAATCGTTTCTCATGTGCAATACCTTCATAGTGCCAACGTTAATATAAGCACTACTACTACTCAATTTAGAAAACCACTTTTTGGATGAGAAAGCAACCTCCTCTTCAAGACTATAGAAAATAAGAATTCTTTTTTTATTTATCGTATATTTTGTAATGACAGTTAGTGTTCTGAATGGCGAGATTGATAAGAGTGAGTAGATGAAGGATAGGGAAATTTGATGGTGACGTATGAATGACGTCGACAAGACGAAAGAAAGTGGGAAGAATGAGAAAGGCAGTTATCTCCGTACCTCTGGTGAATGAGCCAGGAAAATTCATAATTATGTACCTGTAAAATTAAATAAAACTAAAGACTGTTTTCAATTTGCAACAAAGAGATTTACTGTCCACTAATACCCTATACGCAACATTTGGTCCTTCGAGCTGGATTTATCTAACAATTTCGGAGTGGATATAGTGAGAAATCGTTGAAAGTGAAAATGATAAGATAATTGTGAATCGCAAAGGGACGCCATCAAGCACATGGTGACGCTAAATAAAATCTCTCCTTCCAAACTCTTGTTTTATAATAAATAAAACCATCTAAGAAGAGTTGTTTTCCTACGATTTGAGGACCAGTTTGCATTTTGAAATATAAAAGTACTTAACAATTTTAAAAAAATTATAAATGGAAAAATACTACGAATTTAGAAAAAAAAATGCTGCACATTTAGAAACAGAATGACATTTGTTGTTTGATAAACAATTGCATATCGCAGGTTGTCATGGAACACATATGTTCTATTAGGAAAAATTATATTGTTAGGAAAAGTAAACTTTAGGAAAATGAAATTAGGAAAATTGAGTTAGGAAAATTGATTTAGGAAAATACTGTTATTAGGAAAAATGGTTATTAGGAAAATGCACTTAGGAATTTAAAATTAGGAAAAACGGTCGGTAACGCCTCGGATAATCGAGATTCTACTGTATTGGCAAGCGACTGTGTGCATTACCGACCGTTTTTCCTAATTTTAAATTCCTAAGTGCATTTTACACAGTCGCTTACCAATACAGTAGAATCTCGACTATCCGAGGTAATGTGAGGAAGACGCACCTCGGATAAGCGAAAACTCGGATAACACGGAATAAATACCTAAAATTCAAAAATTTTAGTCATTTTATTTATGTATTTAACGTGCTACAAAGAAAATTAATCACAAATGTATATAAAAGTTGAAATCTAATGAACTTAGATTATTAAACGTATGATTACACAGGTCAACACTGATTTTGGTGCGGCAAATGTCAGACCTGTTTTTGATAGTTTTTTTCGTGCTGAACACGAATCCGTAAACGAAAAGTTCCTATTATCTCTAGTTATTGAGAAACAAAGGTTTAAAATTTTCAAAAATCGCGTTTTTGGCTAACTTTGCTTATCTCTATCACTGAAAGAAAAGGTCGTAGAACCTTCCACTTGGGCTTTAATTGAAGCTTAATGTTTTAACATAGAACCTTTTATTTGATCTTAAAATAAAGTTTGAACTTTAGACTACAAGCCCTAAAAATAATATGATTCACTAATAACCTCAAAAATGTTGGTAACTAGTATTTAACTACAGAAACTATTTGGTAATATTTGAATAACTCTAGTCAATAAAACCAAAGGTGAGTAAACCTTCTTGTTGGGCTTCAACTCAATTTATCCATTGACTGTAGTTCATAAAAATTACATTACTGCACCTTAACTTCATGGACTAGAGCTACACGCTCAAACTTTTACAAAATTAATATTTGCGAATCAAAAATAGATAACAAATAATAGGTCATTTTTGTGGATAATAGTAAAAACATTAAGCTTCAATTTAAGCCTAAGTGGAAGGTTCTACGCCCTTTTGTTTCAGTGATAGAGGTACTCAAAGTTAGCCAAAAACGCGATTTTTGAACATTTTCCCTGGCGGATCTCGAAATCGGAATGTACGCTGAATTCGTTGTACATTCGTTACACATTGGTTAAACATTTAGTTGGAGTGAAAATTGTGTAGAAACTGAGTGGAAACTGTGAAAAAGTGTAATTGAATTGAATAATAAAATTATTTAGTGATAGATTTGTGCTGTATTTGTGATAAATTAACGTGTTATTATTAAATAAAAAAAGTTTAAAGTGTAAAATGTTCGCGTAAGTGAGTTTGACAGGCTAGGGAATTTTTTAGTGACATCCAAATTGATAGTCGATAAAGAAGTTGAGCCGCCGACTTTGCACGGTAGGTGGCAGCATTCATACTTTCTCCTTTTTAAAAATTCTCTTTTTCAATTGTAAATAGAAAAATTAATTAATTAATAAGTTATATAGTTTCTATGTTGTCATTTTTTTAACAATTGAATTTTTGAAGATTGTTTAATGAGATAAATTAAACTTGTATAATCGATGCAAATTGTTGTTTTTAAAATACTTTTGAATTAATCTTTTCTTTTAATTACATTCATATTAAAAAAAAATCGGACAAGTGCGAGTTACACTCGCATTAAAACTGCGGATTCCGTACCCCTAATCCTAAAATTTGAGGGGTTTAAAGTGTGAAGGCCGATGGAAAAATTCAAATTTTGTTTAATTTTGAGCATGGAAATACATTTCATAAGTTTTTAAAAATTTTTTAATTTTTTTATCATTTAACATTTTCAATTTTATGATTTTTTTTAGATTTCACCAAGTAATAAAAATATCAATAAATAAAAAATGTCAAAAGATAAAAAAAATAGCAAATGATAAAAAAAAGAAAATGGCAAATTATAAAGAATGGCAAAACACTACAAAAAAATATAGCAAGCACAATTGGAGTTCTCGCTATATTTTTTTGTAATCTACACGCAAAAATACGTAAAAGTGTATAAATTTGAAACTCTTTAGATAAAATATTCTTTGTTTTTTGGGGAAAAATAATGATTTTTATCGAAAATTATCAGTTTTTCCTTGAAAACACTTTGATAATTAACTCCAATCGTTCTCGCTATATTTTTTTGTAATCTACACGTAAAAATACGTAAAAAAGTATAAATTTGGATCCCTTAAGGTACTCTCACAGCTCATCTGCTAGCTTGCATGCGCTGGCGTGCATGCAATTAACCATTCACACCTCAATTTTCAAATTTCGCGCGAAGGGAAAAAGATTTAAAATTTTTTAAAGAATTTTAATGTTTTTTTTATTAACAAATTACTAAAAACAAAGGAAAAAATATTTAATGAAAATAAATATTTTGAAATTAAGTTACTTTTCATCGATTAAAGTAGTGGAAAAGTGATAATACTTTTATTAAGTATTTTTCTCACATGTTAACAAGGTAACATGGTTTTCTAACCTCCAAAAGCTTTTTCTTTCTCTTTGCACGTGAGTCTCGACAACACGAACACGCTTTTCTTTGGGTAAGTATAAATTTTCTAGTATAAATAATAAATAAAAATAAACATTTGCTTTTTTTTATGAGGAATAAGATGTAAATTTTTATATTTAATTCAATTAAAAAATATTTTCTATTGGAAAATGAAATTAAACATAAAAATCCTCAACAATGATTTATCTTAACCTCACTAAGTTTTAATTATTATTCTTTTATATACCCTATTGAAAAAATACACGTATAAATATACGTGTCTATATTTTTTAAATAATTAATTAATTAAATAATAGATTTAAAAAAGTGTAACGATCGTGTAGTGTAGTGAAGTGTAAAGTCGTGACTAGAATATTGCAAAATAACTGCAGTTAATAAACAAAAACATAACCTCAAATTCAGATTTTTAATATTAAAAATTAAAATTAATAATTAAATTAATATTAAAAATCTGAATTTGAGGTTATGTTTTTGTTTATTAACTGCAGTTAATTTGCAATATTCTAAGTCATGAGTTTACACTACACTACACTACAGGATCGTTACATATTTTTTAATCTATTGTAGACGCAGTCTTAAATAATTAATTAATTAATTAATAAGATTAATTAAATAATAGATTTAAAAAAGTGTAACGATCGTGTAGTGTAGTGAAGTGTAAAGTCGTGACTAGAATATTGCAAAATAACTGCAGTTAATAAACAAAAACATAACCTCAAATTCAGATTTTTAATATTAAAAATTAATATTAAAAATCTGAATTTGAGGTTATGTTTTTGTTTATTAACTGCAGTTAATTTGCAATATTCTAAGTCACGAGTTTACACTACACTACACTACAGGATCGTTACATATTTTTTAATCTATTGTAGACGCAGCCTCTACGTGTATTATTTCAATAGAGTATTTATACTTTTACCCCCTGAAGTATTAAAAAAAATTTAATTTTTTTAAGTAATGAGGTATTGAAGTTTTCGGTCATTTTATTTATTTTTCATTATTACTATAAAACAAATTAAAAACTGTATGATTTTCTTATTTCAGCTTGGACAATAAAAAATACAAAAATGGCTGACGCGCAGTACGGTCAAGTATGCTAATTTTTAATATTATTTTTAATATTTTTTTTAAGATGTAACATGTACGATTTTTAATTTTAGGAAATAACAAACTTATTGTGCGGCGTTTGCGGGTTGGATGTGGAGCTTGAAACAATTCAATTTCATGGATGCTTCAATGGGGCACAGGATGCTCAGATTTCTCTGGAGGGGAATATTATAAATTTTGAGGTAAGTGTTGTTTCACCTAACCATCTTTTTTCCTTGAAATAATAAAATCCCCTAAAACGCCTTCAATCATGTATATGGGGCATTCTATTTTAAAATTATACCCCCAGTAAACAATTAACAATATAAGACATTTTTTAATGATTATTTCCCCCATTTAATTAAATCAAATTACTTTTACAATGGGTAGTATCGAAAGAGAAATTTCTAAATTTTATTATTGTAAAAAATTTTTTATAATAAATATATCATTAGTATAAAAATTAAGTTTGAAGCTTAAACTTTTAAATATCTTAAAACACGTTGTCTTCGATTTTGACAAAATTATGTCAAAAGAAAGCTTAAATATTCTGTTTTTAATTTCCGTTAAGTTTACAATGGACATTTTATCCATTCATACAAATTTCAACCTTTTTTAACCTCCGAAAGGTCGGAAAATTTAAATTAATTTCTCAAAATCCTCGAAAATAATAAAAAATAGAATACTTAAGCTTTTTTCACATAGATTTTCTCAAAATCGGAGGAAACGTGTTTTGAAATATTTAGAAGTTTAACCTTCAAACTAAATTTTTTATGCTAATTAAATATTTATTTAAAAAAATTTTTTACAATAGTAAATTTTCGAAAATTCTCTTTTGAAACTACTCATTGCAAAAGTGGTAAAAATAGTGGTAATTTCTAGAAATTTTATTTAATTTAAAATATATTCTACTACCTTTTTGTATTATGAAATTTACTCTGTAAATAATGATTTTCAATACCAAACTACATTTTTTCCACAGTTAATGTTGGTAGAAATTTTTGAAAATTTTCCTCTAAAGTAGTACGTACAATTTTTCAATACATTTTAAATTACATGTCTTTATAAATCAATCTCCCTATCCACAGAATGACCAGAACCTACCGAATCTGCAACAGAATCAGCAACCGAAAAAAGCCATTAAGAAATCATCGGACAATATTGATTTGGATCATGATGGAAACGCCACACAATCCAATAATAATTTAATAAACTTGGTGGAAATGGTGCGAGAATCGCCATGCTTGTGGGATCCGCGGGTTCCACTGAAAAGACGGAGTCCATCGATAATTTCCAGCAAATGGCTGGAAATATCGAATAACTTTCCAGGTATACCTACTATGTACATAAGCAAATATTCTTACATCAATTCTTGAGAAAACATTTTTAATAACATTCTAAGCATTCATTGAGTTTTTCCTGATTAAAAATTTATCTGCATAAAGTTTAATTCCATACGAGCATATGAAAAAAAATAAATGGTCAACTCTACACAGTTCCTTTTAAAAAGCAATAATTTGTGCACTGATCAACTCTACGCGAGTCATTTACAAAAATAATGATACGTTTAAGTCCACATAGTTTAATTGTACACAGATAATTTCAATACATTGAAATATTTTATTCTTGTTTATCTGTATATAGTGCAATTTTATACAAACTTTTGAAAAAAGAATAAATGCTTCTATAAAATTGCACTGCATACAGATAAACAAGAATATAATATTTCAATTCAATGTGTCGAAATTATCTGTGTACAATTAAACCGTGTGGACTGAAACGTATTATTATTATTGTAAACGACTCGCATGGAGTTGAAAAGTGCACAAATTATTAGTATTTAAAAAGAACTGTGTAGAGTTGAACATTTTTTTTAAATGATCGTATGGAATTAAACTTTGGGACTTGTTTTTTTGTTAATCGGATAAAAATTAATATTTTTTCTTTGTAGGTTGGAGTCCTGAAATGACGAAACAAAAATTTACCAGTCTAAAAGGATCTTTCAATAGAAGGAAGAAGGTTCCAGCTAGCGGTTCCGGCGGTTTAAATCAAAAACCATGGTTCTTGGAACCATATTTGTCCTTTATTGACGATCAATTGGCAGATACTTCAAGATCGTATGTATTAAGAAGATATATTTGTATAAATATATGGGCAATTCCATGTCAGATCTCATTTCACATTTTCCATTCGGTCAAATGTAGTTTTTTGTCATTCCTTACTGAAAATAAATACTTACGTATTTTTTAATTTTCTTATAAGTGACCGAATTTTCTAGTTATTTAGAGAAATTTCACCAAGACAATAAGAGTTCGATTTTTCATCGACTTTTGAATAATATTAACGAAAAAAATATTTGTTAATTTTTATTAGAAAAATAATAGTTTTTTATAAACAAATCAATTTTTTTTTTAAATTTGGATATGATTTTTTTCAAGTCTTTTTTTAAATAAATACCTAGAAATAGTAACAAAAGTTTTAGAGTGGGCCTGATAAATCTTTTTGTTTAAATAATTTGTTTAAAAAAAATTTGGTTTTTTTCACATTAAGAAGACTTTTATTTTGCTTTTCTATGAGTAAAGTTAAGAGTCCTAGCGACAAAAGAACTGTTTAATTTAAAAATGAAAAACAACAAAAAAAAATTTTTTTTTTAACAAATTATTGAAATAAAAAGATTTATCATGACCACTCTAAAACCTTTTGTAAACTTTTGTTACTATTTCTAGGTATTTATTTAAAAAAAGACTTGAAAAAAATCATATCCAAATTTTAAAAAAAATAATTTGTTTATAAAAAATTTTTATTTTTCTAATAAAAATTAAAAAATATGTTTTTTCGTTAATATTATTCAAAAGTCGATGAAAAACAAAAACTTTTATTGTCTTGGCGAAATTTCTCTCAATTTAATAATTTCAAAGTTATATGGCATTGAAAATAGGTCTACTGTGAAAAAAACCGGAAAAAACCTAAAATTTAAAAATTCGTAACTCAAAAATTTGTCCACTTATAAAAAATACAAAAATACGTAAGTATTTATTTTTAGTAAGGAATGAAAGAATATAGTTTTGACCAAATTAAAAATGTGAACTGAAATCTGACGTGGAATCGACCATGTATAAAAATAAAGTAAGATAAAATGATTTAATTAATTAACATTTTTGCAGTACTTTTTCAAATGTGAGAGATCCTGTAGAGGAAATTGACTCTTCGCATGAGTATCACTCATGCAACGGAGGTTCCAGCGACGAGGAGATTTCCAAGAAGCCCCATTATGGCTTTCCATTAAAAAAGCCCGGAGGTATTTAAAAAATTTTTGTTTTTTAATAGTAACTGGAAATTTTTTTCTTAGACTGACGTCGGGAAGATAATAAATATGTGTCCTGACGCGGTGAAAGGGGCCTTACGGTCCAAAAAATTAATTTTGAGGTATCAATACCATTTTATCGATTCTTAGGAGGATTTTTATAGGTACAATTTAAAAAAAATATTTTTGAATACCAATTACAAATTTTCAACATAATTTTTTTCTCCAAAATGTTCAAATTATTTTTAAAACCCGTAATATTTTTCTGCATGTATTTGAATTTTCGAAAATGTGTAGTTGAAAATGTAGGAAGTGGTTAAATTGTATAACATTAAAATGAAAAAATTCTTAGAAATACTCTTTTCACAAATATTTTAATCAGGCTTCACAGTGCTTCCCCCATTCCCCTATTTTTCCTCTATTTTCAAAAAATTCCCCTTTTTTCCCCTTTGTTTACTGATGTTATTGGCAATTTATTTTTTTTGTAATCTTAAATGAAAAAAATTTTATCCCAGGTTTCAGGTAGACGATTTAAAAATGAAAAACGGGTTTTCTTTTTCATAAAACAAAGTATTTAAAAATAATATTTGTTCTTGAAACATTTCATTTTTAATATTTTTTTATATTATTTGTTTATGAAATGTTAATAACAAATTGTTTTCTGCGCGTCCTAGGAAGAAACGAAAATTATCTATCAACAAATAACAAAAGAATATTTAAAATAAAATTGTTCAAAAACAATTTTTTCAAATACTTTGTTTGATAAGGGAGAAACCCCTTTTTTCATTTTTATATTGGCCAACTGGAACTTGTGAAAAGCAGTTTTTCATTTTAGACTACAAAAAAAATAAATTGTTTATAACAGTAACAAAAAACTTTTTTGTTTTAAAATTATAAGGGGCATTTTTCCACCCTATTGAGAGTAAAAGAAAGCATTTTTGGTTAAAAACTTTTATCTTCTTTTGGGTAATCCGTTTGAGAAATTCCGATCCCGTTTTTATTAAAGGTATATATGGCTTTTCACGTAATGTGACCCAGGTGAAAAATTTGATTTTCTGGGATTAGGTTTAAAGTTCAGAAACCGAATATTATTAATTTTTTTAAACAATTGCAAGGTGTGGAGGGAGTCAAAGTTTCAACTTTTTCTTATACACGGCATATTTGAAAAATACTTAATTGTTATAAGACAAAACGAAAAAATATTTATAATATATGGATTTTGTAGCTATTTTTACGCACTTTCAAACGATGTAAACGATTTTTTTAAAAAAGTAATTTTTGATTTAAAAAAATGATAAAGAAAAATAAAAAATCGTTTTTTGAAAAAGGCACCTTTTTTTAAATCTTTTCTTTTTTATCGAAAAGTTAAGGTATTTTCCTAAAAAAATGTACAGGTCAAAAAGTGGGACAAGAACATTTAAATGGTCAAATTAAGCGTTCCTTTTTGCATTTTTCAAATATGCCATGTATAAGAAAAAGTTGAAACTTTGACCCCCTCCACACCTTGCAATTGTTAAAAAAATTTATAATATTCGGTTTCTGAACTTTAAACCTAATCCCAGAAAATCAAATTTTTCACCTGGGTCACATCACGTGAAAAGCCATATATACCTTTAATAAAAACGGGATCAGAATTTTTCAAACGGATTACCCAAAAGAAGATAAAAGTTTTTAACCAAAAATGCTTTCTTTTACCCTCAATAGAGTGAAAAAAAGCCCATGATAATTTTAGAACAAAAAACTTTTTTGGTACTGTTATAAACAATTTTACGGTTTTTAAAAATAATTTGAATTTTTTGGAGAAAAAAATCATGTTGAAAATTTGTATTTGGTATTCAAAAATATATTTTTAAATTGTACCTACAAAAATTCTCCCAAGAATCCCAATTATTTTTAAAAATCTTCACGTGGCAATATTTTTAAAAAACTAATTTTCGAAAAAATTATTTATTATAAAACATTAGGCAAATTAAAATGGTTTTCCCTGTAATTTTTTTTTAGGTAAGAGACAAAAACGGGATAATGCCTTAGAGTCTGCGATTTTGGAACTCACAAAAAATAGTATCAAAGCCAAAAAGCCAAAGAAAGAAAGCAGTGCTTTGGAGCAGTGGTCGACTTGGCTGGCAAAAGAGATTGAGCTTTTTCCTGATGGAGAAAGACTCCAGATCCAATCTCAAATAACGAATTTCATTGCCGAAAAACGTCAGGGAGAGCAAAGTTAAAGATTTATTAGTCTTACATAAATAATTTTTTTTTAAGTACATCCTAAAAGACTGTTTCACTAGTCAACTTTTTTTATTTAAATATTAAAAAATGTCATTGTATCGTGTGATAAAGGCATGTGATAAACTCATACTTTGCGTTTGCGAACGACTTTCGCGAAGCAGTTGCGCTTAAACCTTAATTGAGGGTCCAGATAAAAAAACCGGTTATATTTTTTTTAATATCAAAATCATTGCCCTGTAAGTCGAAAATTCAAAAGTTGAAAATCACCTTTTTTGAAGAAACATTTTCGTAATCTGTATAGAAATTTGAAATGCTTACTAGAAATTAAAATTCTAAATTCTTTTTTTATTCAGAGGTCGAGAATTTCGAGTCTCAAAAAATTATAACCGCTTCTTTGATCTGGACCCTCAATTCTAAAATGACTTGTAATCCTAGTGAGAAACTTGCAGTGTAAAACTGCTACTGTAGGGTGGCTCGAGAATTGTCGACTTTCAAAAATTGTTTGCGACACCTAATCCTAACAAAAATTAGGACTTATTTTTTTTGACAATGTTAAGGGGTACTCAAAGTTTAAGGAAGTACAAAAAACCTATTTTATTTTAACTCTTTTTTGAAAGCCGATCTTTTTCGAGCCATCTAACTTTCAGCAAGCTGGCACTGCAAGTTTCCCACAATCTTACAGGTTTTTTTGTGATATAAAATGTGATGATAAGCAATACAAGGGTCAAACCACTAAAAATCATCTGAGAGTGGTTGCTGAAATATTTTTAAAAAATTTAGTTTTATTATTAAAATTTAAAAGTGGTTACAAAATCACGTCGTGAACTTCATACTTTGAATTAGTAATATTTTTTAACGAAATAAAATGTACACGATAATATTATGACTAATAAACTCAGAAATTCATTTATTTTCATATAATATCAAAACTAAATTTTTTAAAAATATGTCAGCAACCACTCTCAGATGATTTTTAGTGGTTTGACCCATAAGTAATATAAGCAATTCTTATAAATTATTATAAATTTTATAATGTTTTATCGACGTTGATGAGAAAACCATGTGAGATACGATTTATAAAAACCTTATTTAATTTAATTAGTTTATAATAAATTATTATTATTAATAATAAAATTGCGCGGGAATGTTGTGTTAAGCTGATTATTCTGCCCAATTTTAAGCCATTTTACTTTTATATTATATATATTTTTATAATTTTTACTTATTTTTCCTTTTTTCGAGTAATCAAAATTTGAATTGAGTTGGAGACAATTTAATTTTAGACGAATTCTAAATAATTTTAAAATTAAAAATAATCTTGATTTCGAAAATTTTAATTATTCTAAAGAATAAAAAAAATTATTACATTAAATTTTTAGAATTAAAGAATTCCTTATTTTTTAAAACTAAAATTATTGCAAAAAATTAAATTAATTTAAATATTATGTTAAATAAAATAAAAATGCTCACATTTCAAAAAATACTCCAGTTTTTCATAAAAATAGAACAAATTTTCCACTTTCTCATATAAATAAATCAAATTTTTAACTATTACAATTATTATAACCATTAAAAAGTTTGATTTTTAAAAAATTGAATTGAAAGATAACAATAACCCACAAAAATTTTAATTTTTATCAAAAGAAAGAAATGAAGGAAGAAAATTTGCTAACGGAACAGGAAACTTTTAATAATTATATAGTATAATATAAAAAATAAATTATATTTATTTTATTATACTTTTACAATCAATAAGTATCAATTTAATAAATTTATTAACGAATAATTTTCTTATAAATATGCTCGTGACGAAAAAAAATATTTCAACTTATTTTTCAAACTCATTTTAAATAATTTCTATAAACAATATTTTTTATTTTATTTGTTTTATTTTTTCTCAGTTCAAGTAAAACTTTTTAGAACAAGAGAACAATAATTTAATTATTTTAAATTAAATACAAGACTTCTTGATTAAATAAAAAAAAACATGTCTTAAACACTAATTAGAGTGACAATTTTTAAAACAACACATTTTATGTTTTTTACAAAAATAGCAGTGAGTTAAACTCAATTACAATTATTTTCAAAATATAAAAAGTATTAAAAAAAATTAATAGTTGGAAACATCTTTGCATTGTTAAAAACAATTTTCTTTTTTTCGTTTTATTCTTTCTCGGGAGAAAAATATGCGAAATTCTCTTCAATCGATTGAAGAGCTTCTCTTATTGTTGTTTTAACAATCGTAGGATAAATATATTGTAAACTGAAAATTTGCTTCCTCAATTTTTAAATGACAGTATTGGAAGAATTTAAGTCGGATCGTAATTTTTCAATTTCTTTCAAAAGAAATGAATTTTCTTCTTTTAATAATAAATTCAATGACGATGTTTCGCATTTTTCGGTTAAATTTGTTTCCGTTTTTGGTTTTTCACATTTTTCGGGTAAATTTGCTTCAGTATTTGGTTTTTCGAATATTTCAGTTAAATTTGCCTCCGTATTTAGTTTTTCGAATTTTTCGGCATTTTTAGATGGATTTTCCTCTGCCAATGAATCCAATGGTAATTCTAGTTCACTTTTCGGAGTTTTTACTAAATTATTCGTTGATTCGTGTTTTTTTATTCTCAATTCGATGAGACGAATTTTCACCCTCTGACAACGAATCCGGTGATAGGGACGACGTTTCTATTTCAATTTTCAGTTTTTTTTAATTCTTGCTCTATTTTTTCGTCCTGATGATAGTCGGATTTTGAATTTTTGTTTAATTCGATATTCTCCTTTTGGTAATATTCTGTCGAATACTTCATCGATTTCATTTAGTAGTAAAACAATCGTAGCTGCGAAGTTCTTCGTTGAACTATCATCTGGTGTCTCATTGAAGATGGAAAAATTTTCATTTATAATCGGTCGGCTCGTTGATAATTTGAAAGCAATTGGCAAATCACCACATGCTTTTTTGTGTTCTGAATCGCTTTTGTGCTTCTTGCATAAGAATACCTAAAAAAGAAAAATAATTAGCAAAGAGTTTAAACAATAGTCAATTAAAAATATTGAACTGAAAATTGAATTGAATAAAATAAATTAATTTCTTATAAATAAGATTATCAACATTTCTGAACTTTATATAATTCTTTCAAATAATTATATATCAAAAATTTTCCAAAAATAATTCAATTCTTTTGGGAAATTTTATTAAAATTGTATTAAAATTATTTTGATTTCTGTGGGAATATAAGTAAGTATTTAAATATTTATTTAACAAAAATTATTCAAGTTTTAAGTGCAATTCAATTAAGAAATTTAAAAAAAATTGAAATTCCACCCCTTTGAAAATATAGTTGAATTCTCCTCAGTTATTTGAAAAGATTATAATTAAGTTTCTAATTATCATTTGAATTTCGACAAAATTTAGAATTGAATTTATTGACATGATAAGAAAGAAGGAAATATTGTGAGTAAATTTGGAAATAAAGTAGAGGAAATAAAATACAAACTTCTCGAAACCTTTGCTTTAAAATGCGCCATTGTTGACCATTTCATTTTGCCAAGGAACTTGGCCTTCATTTAAAAGGAAATCGACGAGGCATTCTCGGATGTTGATGGCAGCCAAATTCCGTCGACGAGAAGGAGGAAGAGGTGCAAATGCATCCATTTGTATTTCGCGTCTCCACAGTCCTTCTACCTCAACACCATCCACAATTCTGTCTGTGAAATTGACAGGACAATAACGTCTTGCGTCCTCCGGAATATTCTCCTCCTCTTTCCGTAGATAATTGTGGAGGCAAATAGCTGCTGCAGCAATTAGCTTAATATGCACTTCCGTGGCATTAATGGGAATACGAAACACTCGCCATTGGCAGCACAAGATTCCAAAAGAATTTTCAATTGTCCGTCTCCCTCTGCTTAGACGGTAATTGAAAATTCTTTGCCGAAATGGCATAACACCTGTTGAGCGTCCTGGAAACGGTCGCATAATATTTTGGTCCAAAGGGAAAGCCTCGTCAGCAACAAAGTAGAAAGGTAAAATTGGACCTGTAGGAGAAATCGCCGATGGAGGTGGAAGATTGAGACTTCTATCGAGAAGCCTTTTACCAAAATTGCTCTTCCTGAATACACCTCCATCACTCTCTCTGCCTCTCGCACCGATGTCTACAGCGATAAATTTATATTCTGAGTCGCACACGGCTAATAAATTGAGGCTGTGCTGCTTCTTATAATTAAAGTTTATTGATCCACTGTGTGGTTGAGCCTATAAAATAGAAAAACGTTTTCTCTTTAAATTTCGTATAAAAACATAATTTACTTGTGTTACAGATTAAATTCAAACATAAATTGAAACTTAGAAAGTTGTGCTGAAGTCCAAAAAAAACCCTAATTAACTAATACATTCCATAATATTTCTAAAAATTCGACTGTCAGTACCAGCTGAATAATATATTGGGTAATTGGTTTAAATCAAAATTTCATTTCCTAATTATTTTGTTTCCCATTTTTCAAGAAATTCTAAATTTTCTATAGAAATACTTAAAATCAAACGAAGGCGTAAATTTTTTATTCCCAAATTTTTTCGAAAACATTAACTTCACAGGCTTCACAGTGACTCTAAAAAATATTTTAGGGGAAATAGGGGACTAAAAATATAAAAATAGGGGACTTTTAGGGGACTATGAAAATTATTCAAATAAAGATGAATATTATATATAATTAAATTATAAGAAGAGAAATTGCTTCTTTTTTGTATATTCTAAAAAAATTGCAAAACTTTAGACAGAATTTAATTATAAGAAAAGCCATCAAGAGATTTTCTACTTTTTTATATTTCTCAAAAAAATGGCAAAAATTTAGACAAAATTCATTTAAAAGTAAATCCATCCAAGGATTTTCCATTTTTTTTATTGTATTTTCACAAAAAAATAAGACAAATTTAGACAAATTTCATTTACAAGCAAATTTATCCAAGAATTTTCTAGTATTTTTATATTTTCTTCAAAAAAATGAAAAATTTTTTGGCAAAATTCGATAAAAAACAAATTGATCGAGGGATTTTCAAGTATTTTTGTATTTTCTCCAAAAAATGGCAAAAATGTACCAATTCTCAGTTCACTGCGTGAGCAATTCCTTAAAAATTAAGATTTTACAATGACTTTGACGAAAAAGGGGAAAATTAGGGGAAAGTTTCAAAATAGGGGACTTTTAGGGGACCAAAATTTAAAAGGGGACTTTTAGGGAAATAGGGGACAGCCTGTGAAGCCTGAGACTTTTTCAAAGTAAAATTAAAAATAAAAACAGTTGAAATTTAACCAATTATGCTCATTTAGGAACAGCTTAATATGAAACTTACTTGCATGACAATATGTTTTCCATCGATGGCTCCAACAGTATGAGGAAATTGCCAGTTCCTCTCAAACCCATCTGCAACTTTTTTCCATTCTGCTGGAGTTTTTGGCAAACACAGAACAATTGGGGTCAGTTTATCCGTTAAAACCTTCATTGTTTTGTAAATCCACTTCACAACTGTGGAATTCCCCATACGAAATTGGATGCTCAACGAAGACAGACTTTCTCCTGTTGCTAAAAATCTGAAAAAGTGATGCAAATTACTGAGTATAATTAAAAAAATAAAATCATTGATTAAAACTTCAGAATTTTGTTATTGTAAATTATTATAAAGGTCTTAACGATTTAATTTTTATTACCTCAATGTCAGCATTAATTTCGTAGACGGATCAATGATGTCATCTCGAGTCGGCTGGCTGATCAATGATGGACCAATTTTTTGTAGGAGATCTTCATACTGGACGACGCTCATCCTTGTGAATTTTCTGAACATTGTCTCGTCGATTAACGCCGTCTCCAATCCAAAATTATGAGCGCCTAGAACAAATTTGACAAAAAGATTAATATTCATTAAAAATGTGTTTATTAATAAAGATAATAATTACCTTTTTCTTTTCTACTCATCCACAGAAAATTTACCCAAAATCTCCTTCTTCTTCGTTTCCTTCTACGTAGTAATAGAAGGAGTAGGAGATTAATATCATCATCACATTCTGATGAGGATGACGTCCAAGAGCTATCGCTACTCATCACTGTTTAAGATTAAAGTAATGATTAAATATTGAGAAATTCAAGTAACTATTAAAAATAAATTTCACAAGTAAATTGATTTAACATAAAGAAAGTAAATTTATTACAATTTAAAAATTAAAAAAAATATTTATATATTATTTTAAACATTTTCTAATAGATGAAAAAGAGGAAAATAAATAACAAACTAGTTAAAAAAAGTATTTAACGAAAGTTGAACTTCCCTTTGCGCGAAATTTGAAAATTGAGGTGTGAATTTCGAAAATTTACTATTGTAAAAAAATTTTTTTAATAAATATTTAATTAGCATAAAAAATTTAGTTTGAAGGTTAAACTTCTAAATATTTCAAAACACGTTTCCTCCGATTTTGAGAAAATCTATGTGAAAAAAGCTTAAGTATTCTAATTTTTATTATTTTCGAGGATTTTGAGAAATTAATTAAATTTTTTTTAATACTTCAGGGGGTAAAAGTATAAATACTCTATTGAAATAATACACGTAGAGGCTGCGTCTACAATAGATTAAAAAATATGTAACGATCCTGTAGTGTAGTGTAGTGTAAACTCGTGACTTAGAATATTGCAAAATAACTGCAGTTAATAAACAAAAACATAACCTCAAATTCAGATTTTTAATATTAAAAATTAATATTAAAAATCTGAATTTGAGGTTATGTTTTTGTTTATTAACTGCAGTTATTTTGCAATATTCTAGTCACGACTTTACACTTCACTACACTACACGATCGTTACACTTTTTTAAATCTATTATTTAATTAATCTTATTAATTAATTAATTAATTATTTAAGACTGCGTCTACAATAGATTAAAAAATATGTAACGATCCTGTAGTGTAGTGTAGTGTAAACTCATGACTTAGAATATTGCAAATTAACTGCAGTTAATAAACAAAAACATAACCTCAAATTCAGATTTTTAATATTAATTTAATTATTAATTTTAATTTTTAATATTAAAAATCTGAATTTGAGGTTATGTTTTTGTTTATTAACTGCAGTTATTTTGCAATATTCTAGTCACGACTTTACACTTCACTACACTACACGATCGTTACACTTTTTTAAATCTATTATTTAATTAATTAATTATTTAAAAAATATAGACACGTATATTTATACGTGTATTTTTTCAATAGGGTATATAAAAGAATAATAATTAAAACTTAGTGAGGTTAAGATAAATCATTGTTGAGGATTTTTATGTTTAATTTCATTTTCCAATAGAAAATATTTTTTAATTGAATTAAATATAAAAATTTACATCTTATTCCTCATAAAAAAAAGCAAATGTTTATTTTTATTTATTATTTATACTAGAAAATTTATACTTACCCAAAGAAAAGCGTGTTCGTGTTGTCGAGACTCACGTGCAAAGAGAAAGAAAAAGCTTTTGGAGGTTAGAAAACCATGTTACCTTGTTAACATGTGAGAAAAATACTTAATAAAAGTATTATTACTTTTCCACTACTTTAATCGATGAAAAGTAACTTAATTTCAAAATATTTATTTTCATTAAATATTTTTTCCTTTGTTTTTAGTAATTTGTTAATAAAAAAAACATTAAAATTCTTTAAAAAATTTTAAATCTTTTTCCCTTCGCGCGAAATTTGAAAATTGAGGTGTGAATGGTTAATTGCATGCACGCCAGCGCATGCAAGCTAGCAGATGAGCTGTGAGAGTACCTTTAGGATAAAATTTTCTTCTTTTTTTATTCGAAAAATCCATGATTTTTTCTTTAAAAAAATGAGTTTTCCTTAAAAACAATATGAACATCAACTCCAATTGTGCTCGCTATATTTTTCCTGTAATCTACACGCAAAAATACGTAAATATACCAAATATGAACTGCCTTTGTCAAATATTGTGTGCGCTAGGAGGATTAATCGCTTTTTTTCAAAATTTTTGATTTTTCCTTGACAACGCTATGTAAATTAATCCGAATCATGTTCGCTATAATTTTCCTGTAATTTTCACGTAAAAATACATAAGTTTACCAAATTTGAGCTCTCTATGTAAAACCCTATTGAAAATCGCCACATGGGAAACCACATGGGAAACCACATGGGATCCTATGTCAAAAATTATGTAAAACCCCATTCCCCATATGGGAAACCATATGGTTTCCCATATAAAAACTCATGGGAAATTGGGACAGGAATTGGCATAGGAAAATATCAAAACGAGGTTCCTCCATGTCATTTCCTATGTCAAATCCCATGTCAAATATCATGTTAAATACCATGTTAAATACTAATTGAGATCCTTTATCACTTTTTTGAAAAATTTTCCCATGTCAAACCCCATGCCATTTCCCAAGTAAAAACCTTTATCATTTTTTTGAAAAATTTTCCCATGTCAAACCCCATGTCATTTCCTAAGTAAAAACCTTTATCATTTTTTTGAAAAATTTTCCCATGTCAAACCCCATGTCATTTCCCAAGTAAAAACCTTTATCATTTTTTTGAAAAATTTTCCCATGTCAAATCCTCTTTCGCCTTATCGAAAATACCCACATAGGAAAGCATATGAGAATCCACATGGGAAATGGAATACGATTTCATGTGCATTCTTCCAAATGATAAAACAAATAGATTTAAGTATAGGAAATCATATATCTACAGAGGAAATAGAATACGATAAAGGATTTCACATGGCAAATGACATGAGGTTTGACGTGGGAATTGATATGGGAAAATTTTTCCAAAAAATAATAAAAGATTTCACATGGGAAATGACATGGGAAAATTTTTCGAATAAATGAAAGAGGATTTCACATGGGAAATGACATGGGAAATGACATAGGAAATTTTAATATAGATGTTGATCGTCATTATAGTTTCATTGTTTCACCACCAGATGGTGAAAATATTTTCTCTCACAGTTGAAATCAATCTGGAATACTATAAAAGCTGAGAGTCTAAGGCAGGAGTAAAGTAAACTTTTTTTTATTTTCAGATGAGTTGAAGTATTATTATTTGATATTTAATCAAATAATTAATTTTTTTTGTAAACTGCCGCCTGCATAAAGCAGCCAACTAAAAAATTCCCGAATAAAATCCTATATCGTTTCCTATATGTAAATCCATGTGAAAGCTTAGATTAAAATTTCAGAATCTATATGAAATCTTATATGATTTCCTATACTTAAATCTATTTGTTTTATCATTTGGAAGAATGCACATGAAATCGTATTCCATTTCCCATGTGGATTCTCATATGCTTTCCTATGTGGGTATTTTCGATAAGGCGAAAGAGGATTTGACATGGGAAAATTTTTCAAAAAAATGATAAAGGTTTTTACTTGGGAAATGACATGGGGTTTGACATGGGAAAATTTTTCAAAAAAATGATAAAGGTTTTTACTTAGGAAATGACATGGGGTTTGACATGGGAAAATTTTTCAAAAAAATGATAAAGGTTTTTACTTGGGAAATGGCATGGGGTTTGACATGGGAAAATTTTTCAAAAAAGTGATAAAGGATCTCAATTAGTATTTAACATGGTATTTAACATGATATTTGACATGGGATTTGACATAGGAAATGACATGGAGGAACCTCGTTTTGATATTTTCCTATGCCAATTCCTGTCCCAATTTCCCATGAGTTTTTATATGGGAAACCATATGGTTTCCCATATGGGGAATGGGGTTTTACATAATTTTTGACATAGGATCCCATGTGGTTTCCCATGTGGGGATTTTCAATAGGGAAAGATGTGGCAACCAGGGGGGGGATACATAGTCATTTTTAGGGATTTTTCGTAAAAAATCATGGTTTTTCCTTGACAACGCTATGATAATTAATTCCTATGAGATTCGCTATATTTTTCCTGTAATCTACACGCCAAAATACATATGTATACCAAATTTCAGCCCTCTAGATAAATTTGTGTGGCCGCTAAGGGGGGGGGGGGTACATCCCTTGCTCCACTAGTCTCATTAATAGGGTTCCCCCTTCGGGTACGGAGCCCTAATAAATAATAATAAAATAAAGAAAGATAAAAAAAGTTTTCTTTATTAAAATTATGATTAAATTAATTTAATTGAATTTAATTAAAAAACAACAATTTGCATCGATTATACAAGTTTAATTTATCTCATTAAACAATCTTCAAAAATTCAATTGTTAAACAAAATGACAACATAGAAACTATATAACTTATTAATTAATTAATTTTTCTATTTACAATTGAGAAAGAGAATTTTTAAAAAGGAGAAAGTATGAATGCTGCCACCTACCGTGCAAAATCGGCGGCTCAACCTATCAGAAACAGGTCTGACATTTGCCGCACCAAAAAAGTTTGATAATTTTGTTGGCCTGTGTTATTGTTAATGCATATCGGTTTAATCGTTTTATTCGAGTTTTTCCGTATTATCCGAGCATGCATTTCGTGTTCGGTGCCTCAGATAATACGGAATCTCAGATAATCAAAATTCTACTGTATTAGCATGTGCATTATATCTAAAACTATATGAAAGCTTCAATAAGAGTTAATCCTTAATATAAGATTATTGTATGCAGGAGATAATTCTCGAAACCTTTACCTAATGTTCCTAACCTTACTCCTATGCTGAAATAGGTGCCATGAAAGCCGATAGCGATATTTGAGTGGATTTAATGGTTGCTGATGTGTTTAAATAATCTAAATGTTTAATTAAAACGTCTAACAATTATCTGATAGAAAATGCTTTATTGAAAATATTTTATATTCATGCTATTTATTTGGAATTTCTTTTATTGCACTAGTGCGTAATTATAAGCTAGATAATTAAAATTTTCGATGCGGAAAACTTGTGGAATTGGCAGTTGCTCGGGGGATATTATGGCAATATGAACGTAAACAAATGTAATTAAAAGAGAAAATATATTGATTCTTGTGTTCAGACTTTTATAAATGGTAAATTTGAATAATAATTATTGGGAATTATAAGGACGAATGAATGTAAATGAATTAATTAATTCCGTTTTGAGATGAAGCTTTGATTTATTTTGATTGAATGAGTATGAATTGGCTAATGCCTGTTTGAGTTGAAGCCCTGATTTATTTTTTTGCTAGGAGTTGAATACTTGAATTTGCTGCTTTTCGCTTGGAAACTACGCTTAGATATAGAACTGACATTAACGATTGTATATGTTAACAAAACAATTTGATATAATGAGAAAACTTTTACACCGTTATGAATGACTTAATTAAGGAATGCACCGAAACTACAACCGTTAAACTGATACAAGGAATTACTGAGAAGGCAAAGGATTCATGTACAACTTCGAGTGAGGTTTGCTCAGACTTGGAGGATCTACAGAGTTGTGCTTCAGATTTATCGGTTTTTTCGTCAGATATTAAGTTGGTCACAAGTCTGGATTTGAGTAGACTGCATTCTGGTCCAAAAAATATGGATAAAGTAGTTCGCGAGGTTGTGGAGGGGGGAACCAGAACAGGTAAGGGTTCTGATACTGAACAGAACGCATTAAAGGAAATTCCGGTAGAATTCCTAGTATGGAACAATCCGATATATCCACCTACACTCCTGTTCGATAACACTGCCAGGCCACCATACATAGTTTTGATGGAAAGTGTGATTAGCACACTAAATATAAGCAAACTTAATCGAGTGGCCGTTGCAGATCTGGTACAGAGCGTAATTCAGGGTGAAAGACTTATCCAGAGAAGCGGTTTGAATAGGGTCAAAATAACATGCCAAATAATTAATGATGCAAATGAATTAGTCCTATCGGAAAAAATTAGGGAGGAAAAATTCAAGGTTTATATCCCAAACTCACTTAAGTATGTTAAGGGATATGTAGGAGATATAGAATGCACACTGTCGATGAATGAGTTTGTGCAGAGACTGGCTGAGAAGAATCTTGCGGTTTTGATTTCGGTTAAACGTAGAGTATCTTTCGACAATCAGCTGCTCAGTGCAGTTGAATTGACGTATTTGGGACCAACTTTGCCAAAACGTATCTATCTAACCTCTTTTGAATTGCCAATTATTCCTATTATCCCAAGACCCATTTGATATGATAAATGTCAAAGATATAGGCATGTAACAGACACAGTGTAGGACGCGATATTTTAGATGCGAGTATTGTAGTGAGTATCATGAGTCGAAACTTTGCGAAAATAAATTAAGGAAGCTGAAATGCTGTAATTGACAAGGAGGACATATAGCTTCCTCGAGCACTTGTCCGGTATATATTAAAGAACAAAAGATAAGGGAACTAAGATCGGAATTTGGCATCGGGTATCAAGAAGCAGAAGAAAAATATATGGCTATTTCCCAAGACGCTATGTATTTGCCGGGAAATTTGGGAACAGGTGACAGCCAAGGTACGGATCTCTCACAAAATACGGAAACAGATAATGTTACGATTTTAGAGGAAAGTATAAATTATATAGAGGTAACTGATGAGAACAATAGTCTGTTAGACGAGAGTGAAGATGAAACAATAGTCGAGGT